GCGCGCCGCCGCGCCGCCGCCCCCGGGCTCTCCCCGCCGGCGACAGGATGGGCGGGGACCGACGGGTCCCGGCGCACCGTCACTTTCCGACCCCACCCCCCCCCGCCTGAGGAGAGGGCCTTGGTACAGCCCACTCTACGGCAAGCGCGGGCGGCCGTAATTCCCCCCAGCGGGCCGGCCGCGGGCCTCACGGCGCATGTCCCATCGGGCCGCCGCGCACGCGCTGCTCCTCCGTCGGCGGCCGTTCCCCTCCCGCGCGTGCGCGCTGCCCTCCCACCTGGGGCGACGAGGCTGGGACACCGCGCGGCCTGAAATGGAGTCGCGGCGGGCGGGCAGGGAGCCGGCGGGGCGCGGCGGCGCAGGCCGGCCTTCCGACCGCCTGTGCGGCTCCGCAGGCGCCGGGGAGGCCGAAGCCTTGGGCGGGGTCCCTCCCCCTGGAGCGGGACGCCTCGGTCCCCAGGGGTCCGTTTCCCCAGAAGGTGGAGGTGTCCCTGTCCCGCCGCGGAGGGAGCAGGCGGCCGGCTGGCCCCGGCGCCCAGCGGGGGCTTCCGACCGCGAATAAACCACTTCCAGCACCTGCTGAAGCGAGAGAGGGCCCCGTGCAGCTGCGGGGCCGTGCGGGGCCGGCCCGGCCCTGGCCGCCCGCCTGCTTCGGCTGCCTCAGCAGGGCTCCCGCCGCCGGCTTTGCCGTCTCCTTGGCGGAAAACGGCAACAAAAAAGTTTTGTTTATTTTGGAAATACCTAAGTAAAGTCACTGTGGAGACGAAGTAGTTTAAGGTCTTCACGTGCTCTGAGCGCACGTATTTTCCGTGTCAGGGATGGCCTATGTCTGATGATGCAGACACCTCCGGGACTTGCAGCGAGTCAGGACTGAACAGCAGTCTGCTGCTCTGGGAGCCCTCGCAACTCGCTCTCGTCCCGCTGCTTGCTCGCAGTAACTAAAGTCTGCTTCCTTCCACTTCGCAGGAAAGTGCAGGCCTGTTTCCTGAGCCTTGTGCCTGAGACAAAAACAGTGTGTGTTTTAAAGCCGTCTCCAGCTTTCATGGGGGAAAGGCTGCGGGACTGACAGATGAGAGAGAATGTACATCTGAAAACATGTAAAACCATAAAAAGTCAGGTGCGAAAGTGTAACTTTTTTATCGCTTTACCATGGCTCTGCAAGCTGTTTGGCAGAGGGATACCTATTGTAATTCCTAAGAGCGGGAGAAAGACATCTGATTCCTGAAGCCTGTTTCTCCTCCCCCTCTCCAAATGAACTGTGGGTTGGTTAGTTTAACTTGCAACGCTACAGAAACTCACACTTGAATTTTCGTGTGGCAGTTTCTTGCATCTTCCCTCTGGAAATCTGTTTTCCATCTTCTGATGCTCCTGAACCTATCCATTCTTACATACTCAGACAACTTTAAAGTATTTTCTTTTTAGTAACTGTATCCCTTCT